TTTTTTTTTAAATAGAAACAGAGAGGTAGTATGATGGCAATTCAGGACCAGGTCATCATCCACTAGAAATTAGAGATGGATTATCCTTAAGGAACCTGGTCTTATTTATCAATTCAAACTATCCAAGGAAAGAGTAGAAACTGGACAATGCATAACTGCAGACTATGAACCTTTAACACCTACCAAATGCACAGCAATGTGCCACCTATTGTCTTGAATTTATATCCAAAACTCTCTAGCTTTTGTAACCTAAAAAGAAGGCAGATCCCATGTTACAAATACACACTTCAAGATATCCTTGAGGATTCAACAAGTAAACTGCACTGGACCTGGGACCATTATCGCAGACAGAAACATTGCCTGCAATTATTTTATATTTTGTTAGATGAAAAAAATAAATGTATCTACTCTAGGATATCTCACACAAGTATTAAGAACCCTTAACAACTTTCAGTGTAGCATAAGCCATCCATTTGGAGGTATCTTATTCAATTTTGAGGGTAAGGTAAATTGGTACTTGTTGGTTACATACTAAATAATGAAACTGTACATAAAGCATTTATTTGCCCCATAGAGGGATGTATATTAAAGAAAAAAAGCCCTTCTTGCTTAGTGTTTGCTTGGTCAAATTTCCCTCTCCACAGGGAATGACCTCTTCAGAGGTCATTATCTGGTGGGGGCACAGAGCCAATCCAGCCACTCCACCTTACCAAAATCAGCCATGAGATGGATAGAGTCTGGCCTTAAATTACATTGTTCATGCTACCTGTTAACTTTTGTTTGAATGGCTTATTTCAAATGGCGTACTAAACAGATACACTCGTCTGGCAGGGTGTATAGATTATTTTCTTCCTTTCTTTCCTCTAGCCTAGCTCTGAGCAATAGATAATGATTAATCTTGTCTAGGGTGAGTGAAATTGCAAAAGTAATTTCACAGTTACTTTTAATTGTGGAAAGTAATGAGAAAACAAGGACTCAGACTTTTGTTCTGACAACTCTACTTAGTTCACCTTAGGCTATGTGCTCTTTGGGGCAACGGGAACAAGGACGTCTTAAGAACATTCTTGTTCTACAGGTAGCCATTTCAAACCTGTTAAAAACATCAATTGGTCTTTTGACTACAGTTTTCCCCCAAGGCAACTTAAAATAGTGATCATTGGAGCCTATGCAGACCAGGAGCTGACATTTACTGGGGTCACATATAATGTGTACCTGGCTCTTTCAAGACAATTAATGGCAAATAGTTTGCATCATAGAATTCCCAGTGTAACACAAAGGTTAGAGATATGTATGAAATGAGAGGAGAAGAAAAATAGCCAATTTATGAAACAGTGTGATGCAAAGAGTTCTGTATTTAGGGAGCAGAGATTCATGCCATGTCAAGATGGCCCCAGCATAACTGTGGGATTAGTTTTGGAATGCCAGTAGCCAGGGTTTGACAGGAAAAAAATTAAGTGGGACTGGTGGAAATTACTAAATTAATTAAAAAAAAATAAAAGTCAGGGAAAAGTATGAGTGACATATTACTGGTATTGGAAAAGTATTTATTTCTTCCTCTTTTTTTCTCTTCATCCTTTCCATTCTTTTTTCCCCTTCAAAATTTTTTAATTGCCTACAGTTTTCAACACACTGATCTTAGAGAAAATTTGAGTATGATATCCCCTTCTGAGTACTAAGACCCTTGTTAATGACAGGTTTCGTTGATCAGTTAAAAAAATCATCATTATCATCCTTTTATTCAGTCAACTCTCAAACAAAAAAGATTATATTGATATGATAATAAAAGCAAACATTTCTATAGAGTTTTGAGGTTTGCACAGCATTTAGCATATATCACCTCATGTGATACTCAACAGCAAATCTGTGAGATAAGTGCTATTTTTAATTCCCATTTTATAGATGAAGAAACTGATCCTGAAAGGTTAAGTGACTTGCCAAAGTTCACACAACTAGTAAGTGTTAAACTCAAGTCAAGTCAACAATTATTAAGCACCTACTCTGTGCTAGGCAGGGCAACTAGGTGGCACGGTAGACAGAGCCCTGGGCCTGGAGTCAGGAAAACTTATCTTCCTGAATTCAAATATGGCCTCACACACTTAATAGCAGTGTGACCCTGGACAAGTCACTTAACCCTGTTTGCCTCAGTTTTGTCATCTGTAAAATGAGCTGGAGAAGGAAATGGGAAACCACTACAATATTTTTGCCAAGAAAACCCCAAATGGGGTCACATAGAGTCAGATATGACTCAAACGACTGAACACAAATTATGCTAGGCGTGGTTCTAATTGTTGAGGATACCAAAAAAAAAAAAAGAGGCAAAAAGTTTCTGACCTCAAGGAACTTATAATCTAATGAGGGAGATAGAATCAGACAATTAGATTAGATGAACTCAGAGGGAAGGCATTGACGTTAAGGGGACTGGCAATGGCTTCTTGCAGAAGGTGGGATTTTAGATGAGACTTGAAGGAAGCCGGGGAAGCCAGGAGGCAGAGATGGGAAGGGAGAGCATTACATATTGGAGGATAGCCTGTGAAAATGTAAGGAGGCAGAAGATGAAATGCCTTGTATATAGAACAGCAAGGAACTGCGTCATTCAATCATGGCTCAGGTGGAGGGGAGTAAGTTACAAAAAGACTGAAAAAATGTGGGGAGGGGAGGTTATGAAGGGCTTTAAAAGCAAAATAGATTTTTCTATTTCATCCTGGAGGAATAAGGAGCCACTAGAATGGATTGACTAGGGAATGGCATGGTCAGATCTGTACTTTAAGAAGATCAATTTGCCAGCTGAATGGAGAGTAGATTGGAGTGAGGAAAGCCCTGAGGCAGGGAGGCTAACTAGAAGGGTATTGTAGTAGTCCAAGTATGAGGTAGTGGGGGATTGATTACACCAGGGTGCTGGCAGTGTCAGAAGAGAGAAGGCGGTAAGTATGAGAGATGTTGAGGAGGTAGAATCAACAGGACTTAACAGATTGGATATGGGGTCAGGTGTCTTGTGAGAGAGAATGAGAAGTCAAGGATAGCACCTTGACTGGGAGCCTGGGAGGATAGGGGTACTCACGACAGTAATAGGGAAGCTAGGAAGAGGGGAGGATTTGGGGGGAAAATGGGCTCGGTTTTGTACATGTTGAGGTTAAGATATCTATGAGAATTGCAATTTGAGATGTCCAATAAGCAATAAGAGTTGTGAGACTGAATGTCAGGAGAGAGGTTAGGATTGTACAAATAGAAATGAGAATCATCTTTACAGAGATGATAATTGAATGAATAGAAGTTGATAACATTGCCAAGTGAAATAGTATAGAGAAAGAAGAGAAGAGGACCAAAAATAGAGAAGATACCCACAATTAGTGGGCTTTCTCAAAATATGGACTCCAGGCAAGGACTCACCAGTCAATGAGCTGACCTCAGGGACGAAAGAATGATCAATAGATCATGAGAATGAATCCCTCGATTAGAATGAGTGATCAATGAAATGAGTTCCCCAATCAAATTGTAATTATAATGTACAAACCTTGCTGAAAAGTACACTTCCCACGGAGGTAGATTGTGCCCTTCTCTCTGGCCATAGAGAAGTCTTCTGATTGGTCCCCAGCGAGATGGTTTGCCTACAAGATGAGTGGCAACTAAGATTCAGTGGCGACAGACTCTTTATCAGAAGTGTAGCCCTTTCTCCATGGTTTACAGAAGTAATCTATAGTAAGCATTTACATTTTTTCAGAAAGTACCTGTAGGTTTTTAGAAAGCCAATATTTAAATCTGTGCATTTTTTTTTCAGTGAAACTATTTGGCTGATCTGTTAGGACATAATCAGTCATAAAATTCTGGCTTATATTTAGTGGTACTGTTTGTCTCTTTATAGGTAAGGGCTTTTGAGTCAACCCGTACATAATGCACATGCTCAGGAATATATTTAATGCTGAGAAAAAACAGAGCTAAAACTCAGCACTTGAATCAGTACTTCATCTTGTGCTGGTACAGGGAGTGCTCTGAACACAAAAGACGCTCTCTGAACACTTGGTGAGAGAGAGCTTAGTCTAGCCATTCTTGTATTAATGACACAGTTAGATTTGAGCATTTTCAGAAGGTTACATGAAAATTAATTCCTTTTATGATCACATCAGAAATTCTTTTATATACTTACACATACCTACTTGTGTACATATATGTGTATGTATATATATATATATATGCAATATTTTGGGGAAAATATTTTTTCTTATATGGTTAAAGCTGAAAAGACCCACGATGATAAAACCTTAGCATTTATATAATAGAAAGCAAAAACATAAGATGTAGATACAAGAATTTACTGATGGTCTTTTTTAACACAGTTTCTGTACAGATGAATTACACTCGCTAAAAAATTTTAGTCAAATGTAATCATAAGGATTTATGAAACACTCATTGGTTGAAACTCTTGTTTTATAATATAAGTTGTTGCCTAACAAGACAGAGTAAAGGGTGTGAAGAAACAAATACAACAGGCCAAAAACTTGTCTTTGATTTCAGCAAAGCTTTGGTATTTCAGCCCCATTTTAGAAGTAAGAAATTTTTTATATTTCTGATTAGACGATATTTCTAAGTTGAGTGCACCTCACCTTTTTGTCAATAATAATGACAACAAGTTACCTTTGAGGATTTTCCTCCTAGGAGCACAGGGCATACTATAATAAGATTTTCTAACTTTTTTTGTGGAAACATGCAAACCAATTCATTACCATTTTTGGAATGGATTTATAGAGTATATCAAGTTTTAGAGAAAAAAATCAGGTTTTCTTTGGAATCATAGAAACTTGGTAACAGTTAAACTGAAAGGGACTAAACAGGTCATTTTGTCTAAACCCTTCAGTTGACAGATGAGGAAAGAGGGGCTCAGACATTCCTATAGAGTTGACTTTTTAACAGACATAATTCTTTCTAACAGCACTTAGCACAGTGCCTGGCACATAGTAGGTACTAAATAAATGTTTATGGATTAATTGATTGATTCTTTCTTATAGATTGCATTTCTGGCTTCTGCATATGCAAGCAGGCAACTGACAGAAGAGAGCTGCTCAGCCCTTGCTGCTATCATGCATTACCTCTATCTTTGCCAGTTTAACTGGATGCTTATTCAGGTAGGAACCTCATTCTGTATTCTCTTTCCCATAAATCTTATGGTTCATCACTCCTGGAATTTGGCATGTAGTAGTGATAGCTACTGATATGTCTACAAACCAGGTTCTGGGAAGTGAATACACAAAGCAAATCACAACTCAGAGGCAACACCCTATGTCCCCAAAACATTCCCTTTTAATGGTTTTATCAATGTTGGGGTGGGGGAAAACTAATGCAGCAAAGTGTTCCATTTAAAGAATCAGCACCGGGCCTAGCAAGAGAAAGACAGGAGCTTTGGACATGAATTTGGTGGAACCAGTGTTATATAAGAATTGAGCAAAGCTGATGTCCTTGAGGTGTTAGAAGAGACATCTGTATGTTTGTTTTTGCTATATCTTCAAAGTAAATGTCCCTTTGTGAAGCCTAATTGATGTTCAGTGGTTAAATGAAACTGGGACAATAATAACTAGTACCTTCCTTATGATTTCTTGAAATAGCCTGGAAAAGCCTGGAAAACCAGGCTTTGATAAAGCCCATTGGGGCTACTTGACCATGCCTTAAACCCAATCCACTCTGGGCCAACAATAGGTGCTAGCCCAGGACTCATTTGGTCATCATCTGGGTTTTGATGGCTCAGAGTGAATGTAAATAGCAATCGTTTCTGTTCTGCTCAGGAACCCTGAGGGTTTTCCTCTCCCAGATTGATTTTTTTTTTTAAGTAGGTAAAAGAGGCCATTTTGGGGGGGGGGGGGCTCAATTCTTACCTAGCCTTAATCACTGAATTGGTGTTGCCTCAGACGAATTGAGGCCTGGAAAAGACCTTATCTTAAAAAAAGGCCAGGTCTCTTACTGCATAGAGGCCATCTCTAGTCATCTTGAGCTGTTTTGCCACTGGACCCAGATGACTCTGGAGGAGAGAGTGAGGCTGGTGACTTTGCCCAGCTTTGTGTCACTAAAATCCAATTCACTTGCAAGTCAGGGCGTCATCTCCCTGATGTCATTGGTCCTCTTCCAGAATAAGGACAAACAACAACCAGGAAAAAGAACAAGAGATTATCTACACTTACCTTTTGAATACATACTCAGGCTGAGAAGATTCTTTATCACTCCACAATACCAGTCACTCATGGCAGGAGGAAAGTTCATCAAGTCTTTTCATGTTAGCTTGAAATCAGGCAGGGAACATTGCACATGCTGTTAAGTTGGGGAAAGGGAGGAATAGCCCTCCTTCACACAAACCCCAAACCAAGCCCACCCCAAGCTTCCATATACTGACCTGGATGATGCTGGCTGAGCATGCCCCATTGGGGGAGGTGTTGGAGGAGCAAAGGGGAAGTTACACCCAAACTCTCAAATGTCGCTGCCTGCTAAGTTGGTTTTACTTAACTTTTTCTTTTTTATAAAGGAAAGTTCCATCACAGCAGAGGTGGTTTTGGGGAAGTAACTGGTGTAAAAAAAAAAGATTAAAAAAAAACTTTTTATAGGTTTGTTTATTTACTTTTAATCTATATTGTAGGCAAGAGAGATTCCATTTCTAGATTCAATCCAGAACCTAGGTTGGACACTAAATCAAAATCTGGAGCAGCTAAGTGGTTCAGTGGATAGAGTGCCAGGCCTGGAATCAGGAAGACTCATCTTCCTGAGTTCAAATCTGGCCTCAAACACTGGGTAAGTCACTTAAACCTTTTTGCCTCAGTTTCCTCATCTGTAAAATGAGCTGGAGAAGGAAATGGCAAACCACTCCAGTATCTTTGACAAGAAAACCCCAAATGGGGTCATGAAGAGTCAGACACAACTGAAGAAACTGAGCAAAAACAAAGATCAGCATCTAAGACTTTTTCCCTAATTCATCGTGCAGGTTTACTGGGATTCCTAGGACTTTCAGGAACCTTCTTACTAGTCCTTTCTCTAATCTGGAGCCCTCTATTCCTGGGATTCAGATTATACCTGAGTTATCTCCTTTATTTCTTTGGAGATATTGATAGCTCTGGACCCTCAAAGTCCCACCTTATCATTATTCCATTTATCTTTGCAATCTTCTGTTGGAATCAAATTTGCTGTCTAGTTCTACCTTCACAATGAAGCTCTGAACCTTTACCTTCTATTCTAGATTTCCCTGGTGCCCCTAGAAGCAGGTGCCTTATAGCAAATGCTATTAGTTCCTGGAGCCACTAGATTACAGCAGCTCCTTCCTAAAGCCTGCAGAAGACTGCCTTCTGTACCTCTGTCAAAGTCTGTGATCCTATTGGACCACCCACTGAATTCTTATTTTGGACCTGAGGATTATATCCAACTCTCAGATCCTTTATAGAGAGAAATGACTAATACATCCTGAACCCAATGAATGATCATGCCTTTTGTAGGTTATCTTTGATGATTCATCCTGTTAGATGTTTCCCAGAGGAAGGTACCTTCTCCAAGTCCTATCATTACAATTGTACCATAGAAAATAATACTTTTTTTATGAATCGGCTAATCCTACTTCAGACACTTAATAGCTCTGTGACCCTGGACAAAGCTCTTAACCACTCTCAGCCTCAGTTTCCTTAACCACTCTCAGCCTCAGTTTCCTCATCTGTAAAATGAGATTAGTAATAGGACCCGTGCCACCTTGTTGTTCTGAGGATTAAGTCAGATAATATGATTAAAGCATTTTGCAAACTTTAAAGTGCTATATTAATATTACTTATTATTATTGTTGTTACCAATAACAAGAGTTTTTCTTTTATAAGATATGTGCATGATAGCAATTTGTTTTTTTTAAAGGAAAAACAAAAAACCCTGAAGATTTTAGTTTAGACCTGACCTGATATGAGCCTGCAGTATGCCTTAGATGTTAAAAAGTCAATGCATTCTTCAGCTTTGTTATTTGAAGTATGCAGCCCATAATTAAGGAGGTAATAGCACTGTCACACTCTCTGATAGTCTGAACACTTCTGAAATGCTTTGTTCAGTCCTCAGCATCACTTTTTGAGGGACACCAACAAACTAGAAGACCTCTGGAAAAGAGTAGCTAAGGTGTGGAGAGATCAGGAGATCATGTCATGTGAAGAAAAGCTTCAAGAGTTGGAGGATATTTTCCTTGAGAAAAGAGAAATTAGATTGGGTCATGATGGCTCTCTTTAAATATTTTAAAGGCTATCATGGGAGAGACAGAGAAAACCTGTTCTAAATAGCTCCAAATGGCAGAAGAAGCATCAGTGGGTGGCCAGAAGGAAAGAATTTGGCTCAATAGGAGGGAAGATTTTTCAAACAATTTGAGCTGCTGAGCAATAGAAGGGCTATATCAAAATGCTATGAGATCCCCGTTACTGGAAACAGTTAAAGATTGGGTAACTGCCTGGCAGGGATAACACAGAAGAGATTCCTACCCCATTAATGAGGTCAGACTGGAAGATCTTTAAGGTCCCTTCAAATTACATGCTTCTGTGATGGACATGTGAGAAGGGATCGAAGAACGGACACAAAAGAAGGAAATTAATATTAGGGTTTGAGAATATAATAGAAATTAGTGTGATTATGGCTAGTTCATACTTGGTAGGCTAAGTACAATTTGCGTGGCATAAAGATTTTTGAAAACTTTAAAATACTGAATAAGTTTAATGTGTTTTAGATGGAATGCCACATATGTTTCATGGTTTGTGGTCTGACCACAGGAATAGGAGTCCAGGAGCTTGTAAATTCTAGGTCTTTTACTCCCAGTCAGTTAATGTGTGGTCAGGGTTAGGTTACTTACTCAATTTGTATTTTGCCACATGTAAAATAGGAATTTATATTTCCTCTTCATATTCTGTATAGAAGAAATGCAAATGAACTGAATGAACTAGAACATTTTAAAAGAGAAGTTAACTTTCTTATTCATATTTATTTAGTTCAATCCAAAACACATTTAGTGTCTGCTTCATCCAGAGTCTTTATTAGTTATGGAAAAAGACAAGCAAACAAATGAATTGACGAATGGATAGATGGATGAATGAATGAATGAATAAGACCACAAGTGTCCCTCCTTTCATGGAGTTTGCAGGCTAGTAGAAAGTTGCAAACAACTGTAATGTAACAGAGCATAATTAAATGCATACAAGAGATAGAAACAATGGGGTTGAAGAGAAGAAAAATATTTTTTGTGGCATCAGTAAAAGCTTTATGGAGAAATTAATATTTGAACTGAATCTTGAAGCATGGGAAAAATTAAAATTGGCAAAAAGGCAACCAGATATAGGAAATAAAATGATCAAAAGCAGAGACAGGAAAAGCAAGGACCTATGAATAGAGGATAACAAATTGTCCAGTTTGGTTGGAGAGTAGTATGAGATGAAGCTGAGGAGCTACATTGGAACCAAATTATGGAGGGCTTTGAATGGCAAACTAATGAATTTGGACTTCATTTTTCATTAGGAATGATTAAAAGTTTTTAAGTCAAGGAGTGACATGATCAGATCTGTACATCAATCATTCAGTCAACAAGCATTTATTTAAAACTTACTATGTATTGGGCATTGTGCTAAATCCTGGAGATATCCCCCCCCCAAAAAAAGAACAGTTCCTATTTGCTAGAAATTTTTGTTCTCATGGGGCCACAGCATATACAATAATCAGTTCATATTAGATAGATACAGAGTAGATGAAAAAGTCACCTAGCAGTTGTTTGAAGGGTGAATTGTAGGCAAGTAAGGTACTTAATAAATGTTTGTTTAATTAAATTGAATTCTGTCATCTTTCTGCTTGGTCTTTATGGGAGAGAACCAGTTCTGGTCAGGAAATTCAGGGTGTCTGTTGCACACAGATGTTGGTATTCTCTTAGTCTAGTGCCATATGGGGCCAAATAGAGGATACCATGTATACAGGCCATATCCCTAAAATAGAGTATTTTTGAAATGAAAGAAACATACAAATGAGCAAAATTAGCATATAAGAACACATTTACTGTAAAAGGTTTGGAAGGTGTTTTTGCATTACCTTCTATTCAAATAAAGATATATTATTAATTTTTAATCATTATTGTTGTTTCTCTAAAAGACTT